CACACACACACACATATAAATAGTGCCAAGAGCAGGATGTCAGTGCTTCAGTGGTACTAGACATGTAATTATTCTAGAATTGTAGGAGCATATTCGACTTGACATTTCCATGCTCCAATGCTTTCTCATCTATTTTATTTGAATTTATTTGAATACATTTTATCAGTCCGTTTCAGAGAATAGATTCCACAGGATGAAGTGGGAGAGTCATGGCACACAATGAAAGCTTTAAAAAAAAAAAGCCCCTTATCAGGTTATTCTAAAACGACAACTCTTGCTCCTGCAACTTTTATCAGATTTCAGCAAATTGACAGGTACATGACAACATACTCTCTCTTGCTTCTTGTGTATCTCCCCCACCCCTCTTCTCTCCTCTCTTCTGTCTAATCCTTGCCATATCGTTTGTTTGTACTTGTCTGTCTTTTTCCTGTGTCAGACTCTGGCTACAGCTCAGGGTAATATTCTGGAGAACAGGGAGCTGATAGACAGCCTGAACCAGACCAAGGCCAGCAGTGCCCTCATCCAGGAGTCACTACTGGAATCGCACAGGCTGCAGGCATCCCTGGACCAGGTATTGTACTTTAGACACAAACACACATGCAAACAAAAAACACAAAATCTGAAAAAAATCTGAAAAAATGCAACGAGAATGTTTTCTGCCTCACTGTACCACTCTTTAAGTGGTTTAATGAATTTTCAAAAGCTGTGTTTGTCATGTTTGTGTGGTAATCTCCCCTCTTAATGCCTTACAAGCTTACTGTTATGACTCAAGATGCTATAACTTTCTGTAATCAGTGACAGACAAATCCTACAAAAGCCTAGTTACTTGATACGAGTAGTTAAATAGGACATATGTTCTACTTTTTGCAACAGCTGTTTTCAGATTTTGTGAAGGCTTTTTGATGATTAAAACTATTCTGAATAAAACAGGCTAGGTAGACATGGCATATGTCTATGTCATATTCTAGTTAACGAGTTAATTTGTGAAAATTTGCGGAGTATACATATACACAAGCCCTTTTACATTCAACCAATTTATTCAAGCTGTGTCCTGATGGCATTTCTAATTCAGTTTTACCACCAGCACACTTGGAAGCAGTTGGTTTAGTTAGGTATTTCCCTAGACAACAACTGCTGTACTCTTCTACCTCACTGATGAAGGAGAGAGAGAATATTGTCTTTGTCACTAATAATAAAGCATATTGAATTGTATTGACTTGAACTGAGAGAGAGAGAGAGAGAGAGAGAGACTATGTTAGATGGAGGAACATGACAAAAAAACACAGATAACGAAACAGATAAAAACACATAACGACAGAGACTGATGTGTTGGTTGTGTAGTGACATTTATTCCCTCTCTGCAATTGTGAGATGACTCCACTTTTGTACTCTAGTGTTATTTCTGAAACAAAGCATCATCGTATATTCAGTACTTTTGTTGAAATTGATAAGTTTAGGCTATTATCAACAATGATACCATATTATCTAGTATTTGGGCACAAACATTTCAAGCCATTTGAGTGATTCTACAGATAAACAAACTCACAGCCAGTCACTGCAGAAACTGCTACAAACATTGGATTGCACAGAGCAAGCAAGGAGCTATTGTAGATGCATTACATAATCATCCTCTAGGGTGCAGTGTTACACCAGAACTGTTTTTGTACTTTTTTCTCAGTTGTTTTTTATTTATTTATTTCTCTTGTTTCTATCTTTCTCATGTGCACCTTCCTGTTTTTTTTCTTACATTCCCTGTCTTATCACACCTCATGCTGTCTATCTTCATTCCTCCTCCTCTCTCCTTGCATCTTGATTGAAGTAAACATTTTCTATTTTACCTTTCTGCTTATCCATGCCCATATAAATCCCTTTCCCTACCATCCATCCATCCATCAGTTGTATTTTCTGTGTTGCGTTTTCATTCTCTCTTTTTCTTTTTGTCCTTGTTTTTAATTTAGGAGCGGGATGCCTACCTGCCTCTTGCAGAGAGTGCCAGCAAGATGTATTTTGTCATCACCGACCTGTCAAAGATCAACAACATGTACCGCTTCAGCCTTGCTTCTTTCCTGCGCCTCTTTCAAAGGGCTCTTCTGGCCAAGAAGGTGACTGGATGCCACACAAAACCTATAGCACTTACATTTTCATCCAACACAGCAGTCGACATGTTTTTCTTGCCAAATTATTCCAAATAATATGCCCTTGAACTGAAACCAACATCAATATAACACCTTTATTCGAATAGAGAAAATTATGAAACCATTCAATGGAACAAAAATACTAATGTGCCCACTAAAAAGTCGATTTTCCTGTACACACATTATAGTTTGCCAGCCTTGGGCAAGAAGGTAACACAACTTGACGTCACACACCCACACACAGTAAAGCCTGGGTGAGACCATATTTAATCTGGTTCCACAGTAGTGTAAGGTGCTGATTGGTTTGGTTAACTGTGAAACCCAGTTCTCCTTTGCATTTTCCATGAATTTGTCTAATATAGCAATGCTCCTCTCCTAAAATCTGAAATTTTGAGAGAAATGAATTGGGGTCATCATTATTTTTACTAAAATAATATATGATGCACTTTTATGGCTGGTAAATAATATTTTTGCATTGTACATTTTCTCAGTTTACCTGACATTAGCAAATTAGCAAAAGAGTTCATTTTGGACCCTGTGCACTCGTGTAATGTACTTCCAAAAATATTTCCCATAAAAGGCTGTGTGCTTTAGGTTGGAATTAGGTCATGTGTTACTTTGAGAGAAAAAACAAACTATTAAGTATAGAGGAACAGCAGAACATCTGAATTATTCATTTATTTTACTTCCCCAAGTTATAGACATAAAAATATATAGTATCATCAGTCAACAATGTTTGTGTCAGTTGTAGAAGTAAAAGTTTTTCTACAATTGGTACAAACATCAATGCATTTTTGAGGGCACATTGCAACAGATGTGTTGTTAGTTGAGGGGCAGTTATTTTTGATAACCTGAGCTTAATTAAATTTACTTTATTTAGATTATTTTACATGATGTCATATCAGTTGAGGTCAGCTCTGCTTATTTAAGCTTATTTTTGTATGTATTTTTGTTTATCTCAGTCTGACCTGTGCAGCTGGAAAGCATCATGGACTGTCTATTGCACTGCTGTTCTCCATCTGAGCCTTAAACACTGTCTGATCACCAGAGCACACACACACACACTCAGGCACACAGACATTGAGTTGAGAGATTGAACACTAATTCCCCAAATCCTATGTGGGTTGTTAGAGCCAGTGCTGTCATCCAAGAATGTCACCAGGCAGCAGCTGGTCACCACTGTTACGTGTGTGTGTAGGTAGGCTTGTGGACACATTCAGTGAGTGTGATCAGAATACTCCTGGACTCTCTCTCCCTTTGTATCTTTTGGTTGTTTGTTGTATTGAATGAGCAAGTTTAATTTGCCATGAGTTGCAGATGGTTCACGAGATCTGGAAGAGGGAATTTTAACCTCTCATATCTGACATAATACACTGAACAGTACTCTTATCTGCTCACACACATACACACAAACAAACATGTCAGCAGACATGCACAATGTCTGTGCTCATGCACTGTATACACAAAGTGCTAACTTTCTCTCACCAAACACAGGTGTTTACATGAAATAAATGCTTTTAGAAAACCTCAAACAGTGATTCATGCAGGAGAAACAGAAGGACAGATATGCTGAACTGGGAATATGCGACAGAAAGAGAGAAATCCATCTGGAATTCCTCTTTTCATCACCATTTCCCTCCAGTTTTATGGCATGTTCTTTATGTGTCTGATTCTCATGTTCTAATTCTTCCGTTTCCCTATTGCTTTTGGATTTTCTTCCTCTTCCTATCTCACCCTAAGGGATGTTTCTATTCCATACAGAACATACAGTCTCTGACAGTTTTACTGCTGTCCCACCCTATCCTAAAATAACTTTAAGGGGAACACCAAAAACCTGACGCCTGATCTCTCACTGTGGTAATTTGTATGTCAGAGAGAAAAGAATGAAAGCGTGCCAAAGAGAAGAAAAAATATGCAGGTTAAACGTGTCTTTTTGCCTGTTGCTTTCAAGTTAAAAATGCCACTGCTAACTTTTTTATTTCATCGCTGCTCACACACACACCATATATTTAGCGGGAATCACAAACACATAAAGCACCAACAAAAATCCCTCATACCTATTCCTTATGCCTCTCACTCTTCTGTTTTACTTTTCTCTTTCTGTTTGTGTGCATGTGGGTATGTACACAGAACAGCCATAACATTATGACCACCAGGGTTCCCAGGTGGTCATAATGTTATGGCTGTTGGATCGGACCACACAGGCCAGCCTTCACTCCCCACGTACATTTGTTAGCCTTGGCCGCCCATGACCCTGTCGCTGGTTCACTGCTTTTATTTCCTTGAACCACTTTTGATAGGTACTGACCACTGCAGGCCGGGAACACCCCATAAGAGCTGCAGATTTTGGAGATGCTTAGACCCAGTCGTCTAGCCATCACAATTTGACCGTTTTCAAAGTCCCTCAAATCCTTACGCTGCCCATTTTCCTGCCTTAACACATCAACTTGGAGGACAAAATGTTTACCTGCTGCCTAATATATCCCACCCACTGACAGGTGCCATGATAACCACACAATCAGTCTTATTCACTTCACCTGTCAGTGGTCATAGTTTTATGGCTAATCGCTGTATATATGTGCATTTTAGGAAGCAGAGAATACCGAAGCCAGGATTGCTGCTTTGGAGGCCAGCTTAAAGAATATGGTGTATGAGTACGTCTGCCGGTCGCTATTCAAGGTAATACACAGACACACACTTCAAAACAACTGTGGTTTTAACCATCTCTGAAAATTGCTCCTGCGATTTGTATAGATGATAAGTGGGTAGTAAGAGCAAGTCAGGAATGTTGCTTGATGGGTTGGCATTGCCAATCAGGATCAGTGTGTTTTGCAGTGTTTTAAACAAGATGCCCAACAGTTCTTTTTCATTCTTCGGCATGAACACTGTGTAATACCTGTAGATGCATCGTGCATAAGACTGCCTTTCTCCTTGCTTTAAAAAACGAATTGGTCCGCTTAATGCTTCATTCTGATGGGTCTAGGGTTACCATGTGGCCCAACTCCTTGTTTATTCCTAAGAGGCTTCAATCAGCCTATCAATTTGGCAGATATCGCCTATCCTAATGTCAGCCTACTTTGTCCTGTTCGGACTCTGAGACAGTACGTACAGGTGTAATCTCTTCTGTAAGTCTGATGCGCTATTTATTTAATATCGAGGGTACAGGAAGCACTGTGCCGTGTCTAAACAAAGACTCTCAAACTGCGTTGTCAATACCAATCACAAGCATACAGGCTCAGGGGCCCTTCAGGTCCCCCCCTGTGAAATGTCATTCAACCTGGGTGTCTACACTTTTTGGGCTGCCTTGAAGGGTGTTCCAATGACTGATATCTGTGCTAGCTGCAGTACTTGAGCTTCTTCCTGTACCTTTGCCTGCTTCTACAGAGTTAACATGGCCACCCCTCATCCTGTGGTGACAGCAGTCTCATCTGCTCTATTGGTCTGTAACTGAGACATGGTGAGGGCAGGTTCCTTGTGACCTCACTGGTATGGGTCATCCAAGTATTACCTACTGTCTCTGATGGCCAGAATGAAATAAAATGAGAGTTACAAATGTAACTAATGAATTCTGGATGACCCCATTGTCACTCTGAATCTTGTAGCTGATGACTACTGGGTGCCAGGCCACTTTATCAGGTTGCTTGCCACACCAAGGTCACAAATGTGACTTTGGTGTCTCAGCCTGCTGCACATGTATGCAGTGCATATCCGAGTACTACATTCAATCTTTGGCAGTTATCTAGAATTCACGGAACCTTTGTTAGATTCGTAACTGTTGTTTTATTCCTGCCTTGTTGTTCCTTGTTAAAGAATTGGCCATAAACATGACTCATGATGACCCAAAGAAATGTCTAAATGTAAAAATTGAAGTTGATTCTGCAAAAGATGTAGATTTAATTAACCAATTTGACATAGTGGCCGAACTAATAAAGTGGGAAGTGGCTGTAAAACATGGATACATTTTTTTGAGCATCACAACATCTGCAAAATGACTTGAAAGAATTAGTTCCATTCAGTCAATCTAGATGATTCGCAAGATTAAATTATTTATCCCTAGTTAATGTTAGGTTAAACCGTAAGTTAGCTGGCTCAGCCAGCGAAAATCTCTTGTCTCTATGTATTTATCTGGGTAATGTGGCTTTTTTGGCTTCATGCACCACTGAGCAGTTTTCATAGGAATGAACCAAGCGCCGCCTACAACGCTTTATCCAGTTCTCTTTATAAATCCATGATGTGTGCGTGTACCATTGGTGTGTGCGCATGCCTGTGTGTTTCTGATGTATGTAAATTTACTTGATTGACATGTCGTAAAGGTAACGATATAGCTATGTTTGAAAAAGAAATGGTCAAACTGCAGGAAATCATGCCGATTTAGTTAACCTAGAAATTTTTCGCACAAACCAGTTGATTGATTGAGAATAGTTAGATTTCAGTCGACCAAGATTTTCTTTGATTGGCCATAGCCCCAATTAACTGCAATACGGACAGAACACCTAAAAAAAAGAGACTTTTTTACACCCCAGTCCTTTTCTCCATCACTACTATCACAATTTGTTATGTCTTAATGTAAGGTTGATTGGTCTGTGATTTTGGAATATAAAGTAGTAGCATAGTAGTAATCTTATTGATCGTTTAGACCAAATGCACAATCAGATTTACAAACTTATACAATCAAACCTCTGCAACTAACACAGTAATGAAGTGTCAAATATTGACTAACAGAGCAATCATTGCATCGATCTGGCAGTCAATGGTAAATGTAATTTCTCTGAGTTTTGTGTGTGTGGGTGTGTGGGTGTGTGGGTTGCCTGTATGGTAATGGCAGTTTCAGGCAGAATCAGGGCGGCTATTAACTGCTGATCACGTCTGTAGGCTGTCAACCCAGCAACTGCACAAAAACACACAAAGGCACACACATGTACATGTAGACAGCAGCAGTGCAGTTATTAGCAGAGATAAAACATTGGACTATATTATCACTGCTCCTGTCAACACTGTCTGTGCTACAGAAGAGATAACTTAAAGGGGGAGAGGAGAGAGGTGGGAGAAGGGGTCCAACGAAAAGATAAAGGTGGATAATGAGCGAGAGAGGACACAAAATGGGGAAAGCATAATGGGAGAAAAGAAGAGAGAGGAGAGGAGAATCAAGATTAGAAAACATCATGATATAAACATCTTTGAAAAAGTATAAACAAACCACCCCATATTTTTGGAACATCTGTATTTTTATGGCAGTGGTAGGCACTTAGACTACTCTCTATTTATGTTAAATTCCATCACAGACACAACTGATTCAGTTTAATAAGGTATTGATTGAGCATGACTAGACACATCAAATCTGTGATAAAGAATCTCTATCAAATATTGATTGTTAAACCTCTCATTAACTTTTTCCAAATAAATGTCCTGAGTGAGAATGCTTTCATTTGAAATTAAAATGAAATAGGGCCCTACTATACTGCCTGGATTTTCCTGTGTACTGCTAACTTATATTTCATAGTATTTTCTTAATTGATAGGTTTGGGTATTTAAACTATAAATGTGTGATTTATTAGTGGTGTATTTACTAAACAGGCAAGCAGAAATCTTTTTTATTCATCCCATCATTTTGGACTGGTTTGGTCTTACTTAAAGTATATGATATATGACACTCAATTACAGAATAAGACAGTGTGCATATATTCTACTCCTGCAATGGCCTAGAGTTGTAACTACTGTGATAGAATAAGTACTTCAGATGCAACAATATGTAGGCTTTGTCACTTATCTGATTCATTTATAGTACCTTAGCAAAGCTGTTTTTGGAAACATTTATCAAAATCCATAGAGAACATGCAACAATAACAACTTGAAACCATACCAATAACCAACCAATAATAACACTGTATATCTGTGTGTGTTTAATGTAAATTAATGTCTATGCGCAAACACCTGTTAGGTAAGCTCTTCATGTACTGTATGCCCATGTGTGGGGTGGCAGTTATAGGCATTCAGGAGGCTAACTGTGTGTGTATGTGTGAGAAATTGGCTTCACCTCCCCGGTACATGCAGCATTTTGAGTTGAAATGATGTGATGAAGTGTGACATGTTCCAGGTTGTACTGTCTACTGAGGTTCCTGGCCTGTCAGAGCATCAGTATGACATCAGTTCACACAAACACTCAAAGACTTTTATCCTCATTGCACTGTTTGCTTCATTTCTCTCTGACACATATATGCATACACTTGGAGAAAAAAACACCCAGACACATACACACAAGAAACCAGGACATTGTCCCATTCTTTGTTTGATCAGTCATATCATATTGCTCGGCTCTTGGTTCAACAGCGTGCCCTGTCACTTTAGTAGATGGAGTTGAACTTGGCAGCTTGGTGTAAATCACCCAGACATCAGATCAAGAGACAAACCGTGGAGAGGGTCAGAAAGAGGGCATGGTAGTGAAGAGCTCCAGTCCAAATGTAGCCTGAAGCTTAGCCTCACCACAGCTCAAGCTGGTCCTACAGCTGTTGGTAAACGTACAGAGTATAATATTAGGTGACAGCAGATGCAGAAATTGTAGAAATACTATTTTGTTTGTTTTTTCTGTTTATTTTTTAGAGGATCAAAAATTGTTTTGTTGAGTTATAAAAAAAAATATTCATGTGATCTGGAGGTGGGACAAAGGAAGCGTCTTTTAGTCCGCATCCTGGGCACGCTATACATTTGCCCTGAAGGTAAAAGTACATATTCAATGTGCCTCAGTTTGTGGGTGTAGGTGTAGACCCTGACTGTTTTTTGTGACAACAGCTTGAAATAGGAATAATGTGTGTCACATGGTTTAGTGTACCAGTCCCACATGGCTTGGTCCACAAATTGCTCTATAGCAAGTACTACTCTAGTATTCTTGCTTGTAGAACATAGTTTAAGCACTTTGTGGTGGATGCACTGGGAGTCCAAATCATCTCATTTGATCATTCAATGCTTTTTCCCTTTGCGTGCTGTCTCTTTGGCTAATGGGGTTTAATCTCTTTACTTTAATCCAGTAACTATTCAGTAAGCACATCTGAATCATTATAGCCATTGTGGTTGCAAATAGGTTTTCTCAGACTGCCTACCATCTCCCTCATGTACCTGATTTTTCAGCAACAATGTATACATCTGGTAGCAGTGATAGCAGCTACGGTGAATAGCCAAATTGATTAGATTAACACAGTCACTTGACTTATTTCCACTGCACAAAACACAACAGTTTTGAGAGGTATTACAGAATTGCACGGTACTTCTAAATTGGCTGCCCCTGCCAGACAGTTGTTAAGTGTATAATATGAAATTTGCATTAATATCAGATTTTTAAATATACATGACCACCACAGTATCAGTGTGGCTATATTTCATTGTGATTGTTATTAGGTGCACAGTCTGTTATTCATTTTGTACAATAAATATTGTGGTGGTGTTGATTGGAGAAAAAATTCACACTATTCACACAAGTTAATTTAACAAGTCAGGTATTTTTAGTTGTTGCAAAAATGCCATAATAGTCAAAGTATTACAACCAAGCAAACCAGGTTAGCTGTGCTGCACTATTGTAGCTCCTATATATGCATCTGTCTTTGTGTTGATCTTTCTATCTGTCTTTAAAATCATTTACATCATATATTTGATGTGTGTGTGTGTGTGTGTGTGTGTGAATTTGCTTTCTGCATTCTTTCTCATTGCTTTCTCTGTTTATCCTCCTCTTTTTGCTATATTCAGTGTATAGTGTCCGGTCACTATCTTTCTGTTTCTGCCTGGGTGGGTGTGGGATAAGCATCTTGATTAGTGGCAGTTTCTGTTATCTCTCTCAAACTCTTACAAGAAAGACTGAGAGACAGGCTCAAAGAGAGAGAGTATATAGGGATGATAGAAAAGTTCTTGAAATCCCCAGGGCTTTTTTTTGTCAGTGTGTAGCAACCCTTTACAAGCCCTTTAGTTAGGCAGGCTGAGCTGCGTATCATGCTATGGGAATATGAGTGTGTTTGCCCTCTGACTGGAAGAGATGCTAACATTTTGTTCTCTACCATGACTTTCTTTGTATGCACTTGGGTTTTGAGCAGAGCAAAATGGCATGTTCTCATATGTGACTCATTTGTGTGAGTATCAGTCTCTCTCTCTCCCTCCTTCTCTCTGTCTCAGGCTGACCAGTTGATGTTTTCTATGCACTTTGTGAAAGGCATGTATCCAGAACTCTTCCAAGAGAGTGTGAGTATCTTTAGGATTTCATCAGTACAGATTTCAGTGACAAATTAAGTATAGAAATGTCAGCTTTCAACCTGCCAAATCTTAACACTACTCTTTGCTGCAGGAATGGGATGTCTTCACTGGATCCATTGTAGGAGAAATGTTTAAGAAAGAGGTAAGAGTGCAGCACTTTTCTTCTAAAAATGAGAAAACAACTTTTCTGAGAAAACACTGTACCGTTTCAACTTTCACTTACACCTCTCCTCTCTGCAGGAGTTCCCTTCTTGGATTGATCAGGAGAGGCATGGAGCAGTGGCCATTTTTAAAGTAAACGCAATGATATACACACTGACATACACAAACATACACACTCAACTTATAATATGTACATTACTACGCCATTCACTGCATATACAATGTACAGCACATTAATGCTTAAAGAGGTACTGCACCGTAAAACACGTTTTTTTGAGTAGTAAATTGAATGATATTACTATACTGTGATGAAACACATCAATGTTGGTGTTAAAATTTACATTATTACCAAATGTATGAAAATCTGCATATTGTGGGTTAAAAATGGTTCAACACACCCTTTTTAAATTATCCTACATTTTAAGACAATTGATAGAGTTTGGGATGACTCCACGTCACAACATTTCTATATAAAAACAGTGTTAACACCCTCTAATCAGAGGAGGGCAGCCCACTTCCCCTAACCTCCGCTAGTCTGTAAAACTGCTGCGCTCATTTTTAAATGTATACTGATTGAGATGCATCATTCACAGCAGTTTAGGCTAGTTTTTGCTAACTCTCTACTTAGTATTTTTATATTGTGACACATGGGTTCGGACTTGTGCTTTAGATGACTGTAGTAACACCACCGAACTGCAGTGTTAACCTTGATCCCACACATTGACAGTGCCCTCACTGTATGTCACTAGCTCAGCTACAACACAGGTACCACACAGAAACTTTACAAACAACTGTCAAAGTGCTTTTAGTGACTGTAGAATCTCTGGCGGACTCTGTGTTTCCAGTGTAGACATGGAGAGTCTGACAGCAGATGCTCATTAGCTCTGACTTCTACCTCGCTGTTTCTACTCTGCTGCTGTTGTCAGTCTGTCAGTCACTCCGGTTGGGGGGCGAGGCCACGCCCCCTAAAGGTCACTGTCCTTTGCAGGTCTCTGATGCATTTTTTAAATTTGCTGAGAGGGAGGGAACTAGCAGAACTAAAGGGTTACACTTTAATGATGTACACAATCATTTTCACAGTCGACATAAAAAATAATAGTTTTTAATAATAAAGTAGGTGTAATGTTATTTTCTGACCTGTTTTTCACCCTTTTAACTTTTGTCATCCTTCATTTACAGGCTACATTCCCAGCCCTCTACCAGTCCTTGTGTTTGAGTGACTCAGACCTTTGGCTGTCCTTCTCACAGAGCTCACAGTGTGAACAGGAAATCCCATCCTCCATTGCCAAGAAGATTACTCCCTTCCAGCAGGTCAGCTTTCAATCAAAAACCAGTAATTTCATCAGCCAGATGGCGCAACTTATCATTATTTACAGAGTATATCAAAAGTCTACACACACACACACACACACACACCCTCGTTCCATGTGGTTTGAGATTGAATGAAGATTTAGCTAATCACATTTCAAAGCATGACCAAGCCAGTCATCACTAAAGTCAAGTATGCACACTTGACTATCAAACCAAAAGACTTACTCATTTACTTTGTGTTTTGTGTTCTCAAAAAAAAAAAAAATATATATATATATTAGGGATTTTTTTTTTTTTTTTTTTTTTTTTATATTTTTTTTTTATATTAGTTGATGCACCGATATGAAAATTTTTGGCCGGATACGGATATCCGATATTAATTTTGCCTGTTAGCCAGATAACCGATATTTACCGATATCGATATATGTTTTTTTTTTTTTAAAGTTTCTGAGATGATAACATTTTGTACAGACTGAAAATCAGTAAACGTGAGTTTTTGAATTGCCTTCCTTTATTTTCAGAACGTATTTTACTTCCAAATAACAAGGTTACAGGGCTACCATAAAACCATAAGTAACAACCCTTACCACTTATCAAACATGCTAGTATTCATGGCAACATGTTTTCAGCTCTGTGCACTCCAATTAAACTCAAATCTGTGAAAAAGGCTAAATCAAAATATCCAAAACATGTCCTGACTGTTAAGTGCCACCTTTCAAACTTGCACTGTAATTTGCAATCTCATTCATCTTTATTAATCATTTCCATTACCTTGTTGGTTATTTGACCTGGCTTTTGGGCTGTCCTTGGCAAATTTTTTTGGTCTGGTCGAGTAACCTTAACGTTAGCAGCATTTAAATCATTTAAAAGGCAACCGGGACACAGTCTGCCCCATTTCCTGATACCGTGGCGGCAGAAATGTAACAGCAAGGCGCCGCCGCTCCAAAATCAACATAAAGGAAAAAGGACATATTAAATTTGTGGTGTTGAATGACTTGACGCAGCATCCTTCTCGCATTACCTCGACTTTGCAGGTGTTGCATACTGCTTTTCGAGTGTCTTTTTTTGACACCGTGAAAAACGCCCACACCGCTGACATTTTTTCTCCTCTTTCAGTTTAACATCCCGACAATCCTGTGCTGCCACTGTCGCGTGTCCAAAACAAATACACATGCCAAATCCCCTCCCCTCCCTTCCTCCCTCCCCCTCTTCTCCTCTCCCGACAACACAAACAGCAACTAGAGGAACATATACATCGGTTGTGGATATCGGCCCAATTTTACTCATCCGGATGCCGATATGTTAAAAAATGACGTTCATCGGGATCGTGCCGATATATCATGCATCCCTAATATATATATATATATATATATATATATATATATAAACATCTTAAAGCCTCTGAGAATTTGACAGTTGGTATGTATCCAAATTAGGCATTTTTTCTTAAAAGCTGACTTTCCGAATATGTAACATTTTTCCATCCTTCATTAGACCTTCTGTCTATCAAGTTTTAATACCTGTTGTTTTGTTTCCTGCTCAGTTTATCTTTTTCTGTTTGCTCTCCCCAGCTGTTACTGGTTCAGGCAGTCAGACCAGACCGACTGCAGAGTGCCATGGCAGCATTTGCCACCCAGGCCCTGGGTAAGTGTTTCATGTTATCATTCATATCATCATATTTTTATTATTTCAATCGATGTTGCCTAAACAGGCTGGAGTTGAGCTCAGAACCATTCTACTGTGGTGGACCAGAATACACATTACACGCATTTATTATTCACAGTTTCCAACTAGAAAACAACAACAAACAAATCACATTCACAACATATTCATGCTGCCCTCTAGGTACCTGGCTGCTTTGGAAATGGGTCTCATCTTTTGTGATATTTCATAAGGTTTCTCTTTCTCTCTTTCCTTGTTTGCGCTCATTTGGTCACTTTGATGCCACATGTCACTTCTTATGCACACCTTTGAAGTGTATTCCAGATGTTGAAGGTAGAAAACAACAACAAATACATCGGCTGAAATAATAAACTGAAGCTGTATGCAAGTATGACGAGCTGAAAAATGTGTCTGATGAAAAATGTGAACAACATAATTTGTGTTTGTTCTGATAAAGGTTCAGTAAATCTTTGCCCTTCTGAGATTGAGTGTGATTGCTCTGAATAATGAAGTGTAAACATCCTGAATGACTAGATCCTCCTTTATCCCTTTTGGTATGGAAAGATGCTTTGTTTTTCATAAGCACCTTCTGCCTTCACACTCCACTCAAGCAAAATATTCTCAGACAAGGTTTTAATTCTGGATTTCTGAGCAATACTTCAGTCATCAATGGAGTGATTTTTTTTTTCATGATAGTCCTCTCCATCCGTTCTCTTTGTATGTCTTTCATAACTCTGACAATGCCACTGTCCTTGAGTAAATGCCATATACACAATACACATACACACACACACACACACACACACACACACTGCTCTCATTGTCTCTGTCTCTCTCCTAAACTGACAAAAACACACATTCGAGCATGCACTTGCTCACACACACACACAGAGTTATGATGTTGTTAGAGAGTGGTTAGTTTATTGTGCTTAATGAGCCCATTCATTCAGTCCAGATAATCCTAATGGTGTGTTGGCTTCTAACTGCACTATCTGGGACGCTGTTAATTGGTGTCAGGTGAAAGTAATATGCAGGTCTTAATGTATGTGTATAAAACTCATTTTCAGTTGTGTGTGCTGTGTGACAAGACAAGCTAAATGACTTCTCAAGTTTTTTAGGTTTATAGGTTCTGCCTATGTTAGCTGTGTAGGGTTGTTTTGTTTGTGTGAACAAGAGCAATGTACATTCATCTGTCCATCAATATGTCAGCATTATTTGTTTGTAAGTGTGACTTATTGGCCATTTCTGAGCTTTTCACCATCCATTTGATCACTAATGCTAAAAATGATTTTCCAGACAATTTAGCTTGTGAGTTAAAAAAAATCCCCAACAACAAAAAAAATTCTTAAAAGTTGCTACTCTGATTAGAAGAAATTTTACAAAATAAAATCATGTGAAACATTTACAACACAACAAAACACAACACAACTGACCATTATGAAGCTTTTCATTTGTAGTGAATTCTGGGTTGTCTAAATGTTTGGCCTATGTCTGAACATCTCTGAACTTAAGTTATTAGTTATTATTTATTATTGTGTTTGTCACACATTATACCAAATACACACACATGCATTTGCATTTTAAAAAGCCTTACTGGGTGTGTTAACCTTGGGGAAATCTATGTGCTTTGGACATCAGCATCAATGTCATATGAATATTTATAAATTAATAAACAATAACTCAAGGCCAAACATTCCCTATTTTAATGAGAAAACCACCACAAAAATTAAATTGTGCTGTTCCAATGGTTTTTGACAGTAAAGTAAACCTGTCTGAGTTTTTTATGACAACTTACAAAACCCTTATGCCAACACACCACCATTCAATCAGT